AGCAGATGACCAGGTCTCTTAATGGTACTTTGTTATGTTTCATACATTCCTTTTTAGGTGTCATCTTACTAGACAACATATACATATTTACAATCAGTGAACCCAAAGTTCCTAATAAATGCTTTCTGTCCTAAACTGTCACACTCGGACAGATGGTGGATGGTGCTTAAGTTAGTTCAGTAACTTACCTTTGTCAGGTGCTTCTTGTAAGCAACTATGTTGAGCAGTCAGTTGCAATTTTGTCTGTTCAAATTCTAGCAAAATGAGCAAAGGTTTCAAAAACTGTTGCTAAATCTGTACATCGCCTAATATAACATTATCTGTTATTCTGCTGTTGGTATTTAGCAGGGTTTCACCTTGCTATGAGGTTGTAAAGAACCAATACTCATCACAGCCACAGGATGTCTGGATAGCTAATAATGGAAGAAACATGTATTTAGCAAAAGCAAGTGCCTGTTACGATAGCAGTGTTATTATAAATATGTGCATCAAGCCATCAATTGCTCCTGTTGGTCTGGTTTTATTGGCACTTTGGCAGATGTAATTTGAACGATTATGAAATTGGATCATTGGTGTTAATTTGGAGGCATAGTTTGATGACTGTATGATAAACCTTGCAGGAACTCACCACCTAAACTGAAAAAAAATCTTGTACTAGATAATTGATAGCAGGTGGCGCTAGTATGATACTGTGGCTACTAATTAGTGACCACAGTAAGTGTGGCTACTAATTACTGAATTTTTTCCCCTATATGAATGAAGGGCACGTTTGGTTGTCGAGCAAGCCTTGAACCCTGCCTTGCCAGGCAAGCCAAACCTTGCCCACAGTGGCGAATTGTTTCTGCTCGCTCACTTCATGAGGAAATGAGGGAAACCACAATCCCCGAGGCAAGCCAGCAAGAGAACAAACACGATTTTTGCACCTGCTTCTGGCTTGGCAAGGTGAGGTGAGTTTTGCTGACGCAACCAAACACGGCCGAAGTCTTCAGCCATATTGATAATCCATAAGTTTCTTAATCTAATATATAATAGCTGCTTGCTACTGCAGGGCATGGTAAAATTGTCTAGTATATAGTGGCTCATGCTTTGCACTGACGCCTAAGATGAGCTTTATAATGTTTTGAAAGTCATGCCTGTAAGTAATCTGCATTTGTACATAACCTACAATATATTTATGGTGAGGATCTTTGCCTATTTCTGGAGAGTCTTTTGCAGATTTACTCAAATTTAAATTGCAACAAGTTTATTCTTTTGAGGCTACTTTTGACTAACTAATTTTGGTTTTCTGTACTCAAATTGTGTGAATAGTGAAGATCATCAACCAAAATTTATCTGCAAAGCTATAATTTAGAATATTATTTATGAATACCTTTACCGTAAACTTGTTTACTAGTTTCAATATCAGAAAAATATAAATGTCATGCTACTCAGGGTACATGTATATTATGAAATTTAATTATTCTTTTTCCCTAAAGGAAACGGAAAATTCTGTTGCTTAAAATCTGGATTATTTAGAGTCTAAATGTTCGTAGTGGCCAATATCAAATCGTTTTTAGTGATTCATAAAATAATTCTAAAAGCCTAGATATTTGTATGAAGCCTTGTTTCAGCAAACCAGCAATAATTGAAAGATGTGTCTTTGTCAGAGTATTTATATACACTTAATTTTGGAAGCGAAGCTAATTTTCATAGCTTTCTGATTAAAATACATACATTTCTGGTCTGGTTTTACATGAACCACAAACTTATTATTATACCAAGCCTTGAAGGCTTTTATCTGCTAAGTTTTGCTAGAATATGCATTGTCACACTGGAAGGGCTTTGCACCAATACTCAATGCTGAATGTGCATCATTATATATTCTTGGTATATGGCATCTTGAAAATACGTTTGCAAATTTTTACATACAGGGTACCCGGAAATAAAAGCAAGAAGCTTATGAAGTTGCATGTGAGAACAGTGCTGACACTTTACTTTTCGGACCCTAGAGTTGGTGCAAATGCTAGTGCCCTGAAGCTTTGGTACAGAATCAATATAGGTGGAAATGTGGAATAAAAAGGGCAGACCCAGTGCCGGAGGCTCCCACACGAGTGGGGTCTGGGGAAGGGATAAACCGAGACAAGCCTTTCCCCCGCAAAATCTGCGGAGAGGCTGCTTCGAACCCACGACCTGGTGACTCAGTGAGACAGCTCTCACCACTGCACCAGGCCTGCCCTTCAGGTGGAAATGTGGAATGTAAAACCAAAAACCAGCGGAGTTTAGTGAAGGCTCAGTGTTCAAGGGACATGATTTGTAACTGGCAGAGTAGATTTATATCAGCAGCAAAAATGTATACGGTTATCAAGACCCTCCAATCATCGAGACTGTTATATCTGGATGGTCTACAGGCTACAGTAACCAGGCGTCTGGAGCTTAGTAGAAGCACATAGGGCCTGTTTGGTTGGGTGGCTAAACCCCAACCAGGCACCACGGAGCCACCTTCAGGCTGTTTGGTTGCCTGTTTGGGGGTCCAAGCCAGGCTCCAGGAAGCCACCCTGCAAGTCTGCAGACTGCAGCATTTGATGAACAGATCTGCTTTATCTCAAATATCCAGCACCATTGCTGAGGCTTGTCAGCTTGTAGCTGAGCTGGTATCTTCTAAGGTTTTCACATCTTATTAATGGATGCTAGAGTGCTTCTGAGTTTCAACTTCCATTAGGGGACCCAGGTTAGATGCTTTTCCTGAATTTCTATCACCTGTCTACTTACCAATTGCTCATTACTCATTCTTCTGACTATATGTACATTCAGCTCATTAGTATGATATAAAACACTAAACAAGCTTGGTATTTGGTTTAAAGATATAGTTTATCATGTTTGAATGGTAACTGGCAGTCTGGCACATACTCTAGGCCAACAAAAAATAACATAAATAATACCAATAATCTTTGAGTTTAGCTTGCATGGTTCATACAACTTCAGATACTTTTGACAGATAAGGTATTCTGCATTCATAAACAGCTAAACAAATCATAGTAATCTCTAGCTTTCATCTCTATTTGCGGGTGTGGCACATGTAGTCTTGTATCGAACCTCATCTTGCTGATCTTGTGATCTGTTCATAGTGATTACTTTAGCATGTGAAGAGTAAGATCCGAAAGAGTTCAATAGTCATGCTACTTGTAGCATCAGCTTCAATTGTCAAACCACCAGTGCTAAATTAACATCAGTAGGTGAATTTTAGCTGTTAATAGCAAGGGTACTGTACTACTGTGTAATGGTGAATATCTATTGCAAACCTTTATTGTAAAGCAGTCATGCAAATTCCATGTTTGAATTATACATAATGACTAATTAGAAAAACATTTTCCGAGTACATGATCCCAATTTCATTCTACAAGTCTATATGACAGTTCCCATGTGTTCGCCTAATTGGTTTAATGAGAATTTACCAGACAAATTTTAAGTAAAAAATTTCCAAAATGAGGCCTTTAATTTAGTCTAGAGTCAAATCTGGAGGAACCCGTAGCCATGTGCCAGAGCATCTGATCCGCATCTCGCAGGCCGTGCAGTATTGCTAAACAAGTGTTCTTTTTTGGAACCAGTAAACAAGTGCCTTCTTGAATCTTGAACACTGATTCGGCACCCTAGAATACCAAGCTCCTCCTGTGAGTTTCGTGTACGTTCTGGTTATTGTTATTATGTAGAGTACTTTTGTTTGTTTAATAAGTTTTTGCCCTTTTGGGGATAGGGGACAAACTATTATCAAAGGAACACATTATTACACAGGAAAAAGGGGGTTGAGTTGTGTAGGCTCCTTACTTCCAACAACTGCTATGCTACCACCAGTTCACTGCAAGAAGCTACTCCATTTTTTTGTGGGGTATCACTGTATCAGGATATTGAATCAAATAGGTGAGAAAAATACCATGTTGCTTCATGTGGATTAAATGACTCACTTTTCTTAGCTCACATAATTTAATCGAGGAGTGTTTGCTTTATCCTTTCAGCGTAGCTAGCTAGTACTCCAACTAATAACTCTGTTTCTCTGCATTAATTTTCCACCTTCGTTTTGTCTATTTTTCTTCTCTTTAGATCAGGCTGTGCATATTTCTTGTGATCTCTGTCATGCGCTTTGTAGGCCTCTTAACCGTTGCAATTGACACCAGGACAATATTATACAGATCCTTAAACTCTATATAGTATCATGTGTAGCCCAATAGGACAATTGCAAAATATAAGCAATAGGCTTTTCATCCATGTTTCCACCGTTTAATGTGAATCTGTTACTAGCTGTTTACCTTGCAGACATGCCGTTCTTAACGGCAGCCGACATATTATCATCTAATAATAAAATGGCTAATGGCCTCGTGACAATCAAAATTACCACATGAAACACTGGCTTCAAATCCAAGCGAGTTCAAAGTCAAAGCGAACTTGGAATTGGCACCCATGGCCAAAGTAAAAGGACTATTTTTTTTCTAATCTTGTTAGGTTCAGCCTGATTGCACATTAACCATCTGATCTCGTCTTCTTGATAGATGTGAAGTCAAGGTCTACTCACAGTTTGTTATGGATGCAGTACAGATGCCCCCAGGCCCCAACTGGGCAATTTGCCCATGTTACCGGTTAACTCTGATCCTAACTATCTCCCGCCGAAAACAGGCGAATCTTTTGTATGTTCGGTGATATAACAGTGACAAGTGGGCCTTCCCACTGGTCTATATATGTATGTCCATAATAAGGAAAAAAAATGAGATTCTTCATACACGTGGCGCTTGCCTTCAGACGACTTCGCATGCAGTGAGCGCCTACATATGTTCACAGTTCACCCCATCTTCCTCCTACCATCCTGTGTAGTCAAACCGCAGCAAGTTGAACTAGCAACTACAGCAAGCCTAGTGGTGCTCATCTAGAGCTGCAAGTACGTGACTGCAAATTCCTAGCTAGATCTAGCTATCTTAGTTTGTTTCCTCTACTAACACTCTTTTTTATGCTTTTTATAGAAGGATATACTATACATGGGGTCCTTAGGCTTGCTGGTTCTAGCGATCGCCGCCGTGCTGGAGCTCACCAGAGCCGACTCCTGGAACGGCGGCCGTGCCACGTTCTACGGCGGCGATGACGCCTCTGGCACTATGGGTGAGCATCTATCTATACATTGAGCAGTTGGATGTATCGATCGCTCGTTAGCTATTGGTTGCATCATAATGACATGTTGTTCTTTGTGTCTGACGTGCAGGAGGAGCGTGTGGGTATGGCAACCTGTACAATGCGGGGTACGGGAAGAACACCGCGGCGCTGAGCACCTCGCTGTTCAACAATGGGCAGAGCTGCGGCGCGTGCTTTGAGATCCGATGCACTGGCAGTGGCAGCTGCCTGTCTGGTTCCGCCATTGTGACGGCCACCAACTTCTGCCCGCCCAACTATGCGCTCCCCAACAACGATGGTGGATGGTGCAACCCGCCGCAGCCACACTTCGACCTCGCCGAACCGGTCTTCACCCAGATCGCCATTTCCGGTGCTGGCGTCGTGCCTGTCCAATACAGGAGGTACGTACGTGACAGTGACACCAACCAGCTGCTCAAAGTTGGAGGCCCGTGCCGTGCGTATGATCACACCATGCCTGATCGATGCCTATGCGATGTTTAATTTGTGCTGTACAGGGTGGCGTGCGTCAATCAGGGTGGCATCCGGTTCACCATCAGCGGCCACTCCTACTTCATCCTGTTGCTCATCACAAATGTGGGCGGCGCTGGTGACTTGACGGCGGTGTCGATAAAGGGCTCGCGGACGGGCTGGCAGACCATGAGCCACAACTGGGGCGCCAACTGGAATAACGGCGCCCTGCTCGACGGCCAGGCACTGTCGTTCCAGGTCACCGCCAGCGATGGCCGCACCGTCACGTCCGAGAACGCCGCACCAGCTGGCTGGAGCTACGGCCAGACCTACACCGGCAAACAGTTCTAACTGCCCGGTCAGCTGATGAGCTGACCGCCGGCCGGCCGGCCGTCTGTACTGAGCGGCCAGTCACGATTAGCATCGCGTGTGTGTGCGTCGCCGGAGGAGGGCTCTGTTTTGAAGCAGCTCGCTCGAGAGCGGCAAGGTCTGGTTAGGGGCTTGTGACTTGACGTTTTTGCGACTAGCAAGGCATGTGCGTCGTCGCCAGCCACCGAAGATGGGGGCTTTTACTTTCAGCAGGTGTGTGCTTTGCAGGGACGCTTAATTAGTCAGGGGTCAGGGTCAGGGTTTCGAGGCCTGGAAATTAATCAACAATGGCTGCCTGTGGTGATGAGCAGAAATTAGCAGCTCGTCACCCGCGCCATGTACCACGTAATTGCAGCTTTGCTTGCTTGAATCAATGGAATTTAGCCTAGTTGTTCTCTTCTCGTTTCTTCCCACCAAAATGGGTAAGAACCAGTGTCATACTTTGGCTGTTCATCGTTACAACGTTTTCTCTGTTTCTATTCAATGTGCTCTATTGAACTAATAAGAAAGCAAAGCCTGCATGATCCCTAGCTACAACTACAATTATCTGATCGGATCGGATCCATTCGGTCAAGTATATGTTTAGTTTAGTAGGTCTCATGGATGCTAGAAATAAAAAGTCGCCGAAGCGAGGACAAAGATGGCATCAAATTGGACAAAACCCAGTAGAATAGTGAACGCGCGATGGTCCGGTGATTTGACATTTGTGCACGTTGGATTTCTGATCTCCGGGCACTCTCTGAGATGGATTCCAATAACAAGATTGCTTGTGAACGCAAGAAATACTTAGAAGTCAATGATGCACAAACACTGTTGGAATTCTTGAGAAATAAGCAGTTAGAGGATCCTTACTTAGAAGCTAATGATGAACAAATACTGTTGGAATACTTGAGAAATAAGCTGTTAGAGGATCATTCGGTCTTTTATGTTGTCTAGATAGGTAAGGAAGATGTTTGGATAGAAAATTTCTTTGGGCAGCAAGTGCTTTGTAATGCTATGTCATTGGGGACACCACTTTTTAATAGTGATAAGTTTGAAATGCCTTTTGCTTGGATCATTGGAACCAACTATCACAAGCAAACAATAATTTTTGGGGCTACACTTTATATATAATAAAACTATTGAATAATTTATTTAGCTCTTTGAAACCTTCCTAACACAATTCCAAGCAAGCATCCTAGCACAATTTTCACTAATCAAGATGCAGACATGGCAGCTTCAATTGCATATGTATACCCAAATACAAGTCATTGCACGCCTTTGTTTGTGGCACATTTACCTAAATGCTTTTGGAAAAATAGTCATTTTGGTCCCTGAAATATTATTCGAGGCTCAGTTTCATCCTTGAAATTTCAAAATGGTCATTTTAGTCCTCAAACACTAGCTCAGTTTCATACTAAAACTACGAAGATGATCATTTCAGTCATCAAACTTTTTATTTTGGACTCAATTTCATCCTAAAACTATAAAGATGATCATTTTAGGCTTCAAACTTTGCGTTTTCGATCTAAACTTTATTTTCAAACTCAACTTTGTCTATCGTCAGCATCAACATCACCAGCAATTAGAGATAAAAAAATAATATTCATCAAAAAATACTTTAGTGGCCATTTGTAAGTGCATCTAGTCCTTTAATGGGTTTTGGAATATGAATACAAATGTTGAAAGTGTGCTATCCGATTTGGTAGTTGGGACGACGCTAGTGCTCGACAAAGGACGAAGTTGTGTCAAAATGCATTTTGATAATTCATGGATGAAATTGTGCTTGAAATATAAAAGTTTTCTTTTTAGATAGACAAAATTGAGTTGAAAAATAAAAGTTTAAAGACCAAAATGCATTTTGGTAGTTTATGGATGAAATTGAGCCCAAAATGCAAAGTTTGAGGACTGAAACGATCATCTTCGTAGTTCTAGGATGAAATTGAGCCTAAAAATAGAGTTTGAGGACTAAAACGGCCGTTTTAAAAATTTAGGGATAAAACTGAGCCTCGAGTAATATTTCATGGACCAAAACGGCTATTCTGCCAATGCTTTTCATGACTCGCATAACAAGTTTCTACCTGATTTAAAGAGATATGTGTGAGGACAAATCGGCTTAGTTCATTTGAAAGTGGCATGAATTGTTGAGAGAATATAGTCTTGAGGATAACTCATGGATGAAAAAACTGTATAATATGCGGGGTAAAGTGGGTTGCTGTCTACTGTGATCCTTTTACGGCGGATATGAACTCAATTCAAGGGAGTGAAGGTATGAATAATTCTTCTAGCATGAACACTCCTTGTATCAAGGAGGATATACAAGTCTTCAGCCTATTCGTTTGGTCGTATTTGGCTTATAAGCCATGGCTTATCAGCTAATGAACAATATTTTTCTCTCACACCAAACCAGCCAACAGTACTTTCAGCCATGGCTTATAAGCCAAACCAGTCCCAACAAACTTAGTTGGTCAAGCTGCCACATTTGCAGTCGGCTGCTAAGGAAATACATTTTGATGGAGTGCCAAATCAAGATATAATATATGTAACCATGTTGTGTAGCCTTGTAATGTATCCAGGAATGTCACTAAATTAATAGTACTGTACTTAGCACTTTGTACAACCTGGGTGCAATAATGTTTAAATCGTATTGCAAATGAATTTTTTATCAGATAAATAATTCTTTTTTCACATAAGCATTAATAACCAGAGAAAAAAATCATCTCTTTTAACACAGCGTCGGCAACGATGGCGCAAGCGGTGCTGACGGCGCTTTCGTCATGACGACTCTGTCTTCCGGTTGTTGGCGGTGCAGTGTGGTGACCGGTTTGTGGTGGTTTGGAGGCGGTTGAGCATGTGTCCGTGCTGAGTTTTGGTTTGTGTGGCTCGTGTTGACGTCCCATTCCGATCGGCCAGGGTTGTTTTTCTTTTCTGTTGAGTTTGAGCTCGAGTTCGGTATGTGTTGATGGTCCAATCCAACCGATCGTAGTTGTACCTTTTTTTATTTTGTCCAGTCTGAGCTTTATCTGCTTTTTAATATAATCAGCGGCTCTCCTGATTCGTTTCAAAAAGGAGTATCAGACAACAAAAGCTATCACCAAACCAATGAACTGCATACACTGAAAGGAACGTACTTGTGAACATCAATCATATTCAGGACAAGTGGACAACCATATACATTTCAAATAAGAAAACAGATTACAAAGAAGGGCTACAATTATATCAAACTGCAGCCCTATACAACCATATATGCTTAAGGCTTTAATATATTCTGGGGCCAACCCCTGTCCATCTTGCATTGCAATTAGGAAAACAAATTTCGAGTCAGTCATAGCTTCTCGAGCTCTAGCACGTGTTGCTACAAGTGTTTGACTGACGAAAGGACACCCCATCACTTGATCATTGCGACCATTGAATTTCACAGCTGCCGCAGATAGAACCAAAAACCTAGATGAAAACATAGATGATTTTTTAGCTTTCAATTGCTCCATATATGATTTTTTTTTCACAAATTGAAAAATCTGGCCAGTGACTTTGAAACATGAGACAAGGGTAGTAGAAAACTATCACTTATGTTAATCCACACATGCCTAGCAATATAGGAATAAAAAAGACGGAAATGCTCCACCATGGGCGTCCGTTTTGCGCTGGTCAATCCGAACACGGCTAGCTGGGCTGCGGACCAGCCCACAGGCCTGCTCCCCTCATCGGCATACACGGTTTCTCAAAAAAAAAAGAGAGCGACATCTTATTTTTCCCATTCGCATCAGCTCCACCGCACCGCCTGCCCTTTGGTCTCATACTCACGAGCTCTGCTAGCGCCCACGTCTGCACGAGCGCCGCTGCCATCCGCATACACACGAGTGCCAGCGCCGCCGCTAGCCGTGTACGCACGAGCTCCACCGACCGCGCTGCGCCGCCCGCCCGTGGTGAGGGAGACCGTTGCCACCTCCACCACGGGGTTGGACGCTTGGTCGGCGGCCAAGAAGACCTCCGCCTCCGCCTGTCCAGCTCGCTGCCGTCGGGTGTGGAGGTCTCTGTCGGTGCGGGACCCGCAGGATACCCCGCGAGGAATAGAGAAGATCTAGTCTAACTAGGATTCTCCCCATGTAATCTTAGTAGTAATATTATTCTGTAATCCTACTAGGAACTCTCATTGTAAACCGACTAGGATTCTGACCTCCTGACTATATAAAGGAGGGCAGGATCCTAGAAAGGGCGACAACACGACAACAACACAATCAATCCAACACAGAGGTTAACGCCGACTGGACGTAGAGCTATTACTCGATCAACGATCGAGGGCCCGAACCAGGATAAATCGACTGTCTCTTGCGTTCACCGTCGAGTTCCGCATAAGCCGAAGCCCGAACATACTATCCCGGGTAACCCCGTGGCAGGCTATCGGTGGTAAAACATCGACAGCTGGCGCGCCAGGTAGGGGCTTTCGACGAATTTGCATCCAAGAGCTCGATGGACCTCGACAGCATGATCTTCTCGACGGGATCAACTTTCATCTTCGGCTCATGGATCTGCGAGGCGGACGACAATGGCAAGCTCCAAAGCCGTCTCCTCGAAGATTCGAATCACCGTGAAGACTATTCTATTTCGGCGACTACGACGGATCAAATCATCGAAAGATTCGCGTAGCTCATGATGTCCGATTCAACTCAGGTTTCGCGGCTTTGCGCATCCGACTCGAACTCAGGCTCCGCATCCGAGATAGAGTCTTATCCGAGTTCTTTTGGGAAACTGAGTTCTTTTTTCGGTGGGGCTTAAGAACGCGGCCCTGACCTATCAAGAATACAACTCGGAGTACACGCAGAATCTTTTCAAGAAGTCAGATTCTTTTCCACTCGGACTCCACAACATGGCAACATCTTATCAGACACGACCCAGAGGATTCCTCGATCCGGTGCTTAGAATGCCACTGAAGGGAGCTCAAGAAGGTCTCGTACTAACTATAACATCTCAAGACTGCATTGTCCACTGGCCGGGCTCTGTTC